ACAATGATTGACTTGGTCTCCATGGAAAGTGCACCAGTCACTGCTGTCACAGTGATATGGTATGAAAAAAATTTACAGAGCTTTCAGTATCATTGGCCTCATGTATTCTATTTGTGTTGTTGTTGTTTTTTTATTAAAATGTGTCTAGTGATTCTGTGAAATAAGGAGGCAAGGCCTCTCTCTTGCATACAGCAACTTACAGAACTATTGCTGGTATTTATTGTATACTTCTCTCTTTTCTCTGCTATGGAAGCTAATACTTACCAAGTGATTTGTTTACCTTGGCTGATATTAACTATGTCTTCTTTACTTATTTATTTTCATTTCAATATGAAGTTCAGCTGGTATTATCGGACTGTGTGTAGCTGGATGAAATCACTGATTACTGTCAGTTATTTATTTTGTATGTCTTCCCATAGAAGGTGCACCTCGCCTAGTGTTTCTATTTCTCCTTTACCTGAGTAAGCAATTAAAATTTCTGAACGCTTTTGTTTCCAATAAGTTACTCATGGGTTAGCCATCCCTCTTTACTGGAAATAGTTCTGCAGCAGGTTCCTACCTTTCATGTTTCGTTTAGAAAGAGGAACTGCTGCAATGCAAAATGCCTCAGTGCAAGAACGGATAACTATCATTGAGTGATCTACTGAATTTGATTGTTTTGGATTACAATTAAAATCTAATCAAGATTTAGATACCCTAATCCTATTCTTACTATGTGAATGCACTGGAATAAATTAGGACTGAATCTGAACCTAACCTAATGTTTTATGAATCCATGATATATAAACAAAATGAACTAAATTAAATTGACTCAGCGTTACGGTTTTGCCAACATCTGTCTCCTTTATCAAATGACAGGATGATGACTCTTTTCTTCACTCAGCCTTCTACAACCCCTCCCCCACCTTTAAACCTTTGAATCCATGCTGCAACATTTCACAGACAACTTCCATCACTCTCCAGCAGTGTGTATGAGCATCTTAACATCAGCCCAGACACAGTCGGGGGGGGGGGGGGGGATATATGCCTCAGGAGAAGAACATAGATTAAGAGCTGGAGTCTGGATTCCTTCCAGCAACAGAAAAGCATCATTAAGGAAATAAATTGCAATTCCCTCAAAACCTACCATTACAAGAATTAAATCTGATTTACGTCCACTTTTTTAAATATTCAGCCCAAATTCTAATAAAAGTCCAGGTATTTTGTGCCAGACGCCATCATCAAAACAAATTAATGTTCACAGCCAGAGTGCTAAGTAGGCCACAGCATGGTATGTGACCCACAAGATGGTTCAATGGCCCATTTTTGTTTCCCAACCATCTGATACTTAGCCCGCTGAGGTGGAAACCTACCCGGCTTACACGGACGGGTAGCAACTAAAGCCTTTGGTATCAGTAACAAGGTGAGGCTTTTTGTTTGTTTCAAGAGAAAAAGAATCTGAGAAAAAAAAAATCTGGAAAAATACAACATGTTCATCTGTGAAAATAAAATATAAATGTCTGAATGAGTTCACAGTTGGCACAGACTAATTTATGTATTTTGTATCTTTAAGAGTAATTTGCTTCTAAAACTAAAAGTTCAACCAAAACTCTTCAGAGATACTAAGGAGGATATTTTACAGTGAGTAGGTACTGTATGTATGTATGTAAAATAAACCTGTAGTTTTGAATTAAACTTGAGTGGAAGAAAACGGTTTGGAAAAACTGCTTCTTTTCTGATTTATCAACCTTAAACCAAAGCATGGTCTGCAGAAAATACACTCCACCTTCACCTCCAGGGGAAAAAAACCCTAGTAAACCCAATGAGATTGTTATCTGGAGTGTCGGCTCGAGATGGAGGGCATAATGTGTGTTAAACTGAGCGTGAATAAAGCATTCTGTTAGCAGGGCTCTTTTGTGACCCTCTCCTGAGCCACATCTTTAGCTGGTTTCGCTCCAACCTGAGTTTTTAAATTCACCATCACCGCAACTCATCTGCATGACAACAGTCCCTCAGTGTCTTTTTAAAGGCTACTTACTGAAATGGCAACAGAATGCATACCTTGCTCTAGTGGTGCAACATTTTCTATGGTCACATAAAAGTATTTGACTGTAAAACCTTTTTTCAAAGCTGCAGAAAAATCCATCTGCTTTTAGAATAAAGTGTTCTGAATTTACAGTATTAGATTCACGTATTACTGAAAACTCTGGCAAAGAATCCTGTGTAAAAAGCCTTTAATTAGATTGAAGCAATTTTGATATAGCATAATCTCACACTCCAAAATAGTGCTGGAAGAAAAAAAAAAGAAAGAAATGAATTAAACTGCCTTTGAGCCTCTAATGGATCAATGTTCTTTGGTTAGATCACTCAATCATTGATGTTTTCTTTTTATTGAAAAAGTGCAAAGAAAAGTGGGTCCTATGCCCACTGTAGGGTTTATGGTCAATCTGGGATGCTGTGGGATTTTTTCTCTTTGAAGCCAATTGGAGGCTTGTTTGGGTGCAACGAATAGTGAACTTTTCCTTTTTCTTTTTTTTTTTTTTGTAACAAAGTGGCATTATATGAAAAATATGATACCATTTCATCTTTCAGCAGTACCATTTTACGTTTATAGCCCAATCAGCACAGAAACTGTTTCCCACATACACACATGGAAGCAGCAAGTGTAGTCTAGTAAAAATTAAATACTGACAACAGACGAACCACTAGATGACGATCCAGCGCTATAGTGAAAACAACAATTAACATTTAACATTCAGGATTTTTCTTCTCCTGCTAAATAAGCCTACTTAATTTTTAAAATCATATTCACATTCAGTGTGAGAGTTTGCTTTGGCAATAAAAAGATGTATTCTATTACACACACACAAAAAAGAAAAGCTCAAATTGTATTTTTTTTCTTGCAATACTTTGGTTGCATACTAATTTAAACCACTGAAAGTGGACAGGAATAGATTTATGATGCTGTCCTAACCTGCTTTACCTCATTGCAGAATGAGATGTCACTTTAAAGGTATAGCATTAGCAAGGTGTTTGTAAGAAAGGAAATGTGACAGAACCTGTTTAAACATTTGATAGCTGAAAGATTCCAGATGTTGCATCCAGATCAAAGCATCTTTAAAGATCCAAGTTCTCTGTGCAGACGAAAGCCTTTAAAAAGGATTTCATATTTAGAGTCCTAGGTTTGGATCCAAATAGGTTTCTAGTAAAGCATACAGGAAATGTATGCAGGGAAAGCACCTGAAGGCCAGCAGCTGTATGGCCAAGTCTCTAACTCCTCATCAGCAGCACCAAGGCACACAGAACAGCTTTCTGATCAAGATATGAAAGCAGCCTTCCATAGCATGCAAGAATGCCGGGTGATACTGAGCCACCTGTTAATCATTTCCAGGGATGAGACTAGAGCACATGTATTTTATTACTTCCACCATGAAATCCAAATACCAAAACCTCCATCCTTTTATTTTGCACAACTGAACACATAAATCTACAAAAAGTAGCAATCTTTACCTCCTCACCAATCTTTACAGATAAAAAATAACTACTAAATACAATACTCATATAAAAGAGCAGGATATCTCATAGACAAATCCGTCCTTCAGATTGCTAAATGAGGTCAATAGAAATAAATTATTATACAAGCATTAATTTTGTGCAGAAATCTGAATGTGCAGCGTTCATTCTAAAAAAAAACCTAAAAAAAACAACTCTTCTGTTTTAATGCTCTTTGTTTATTTCAAACTGTCATGGATTCACACTCCTTATGGCCAAGATATTCAGCCAATAAGATTGAGTCTTGCTGTAGTACATGTCCATATCTGACACATGTTAGTTAGCAAGGCACTAAATGACAAAGAGTGAGCTGCAGGTAATACTAAACCCTGTTTCCAAATATGGTGCAGATCTACTCTTATTTACTAAAGCCAAAATTCTAAGTGGCTCTGCTTTAAATGTCAGGATGTCGCTTTTTACGGATTAAAAATGTAAGATAATCCAACTAAACAGAAATTTTAGCTTTTATCATTTTGCTTCCGAGTGAGGAGAAGATTTTTTTTCCTCCTTTGCTCAGAAAGACCCTCATCAGAGCACAAATACAGCACCATTTATTTTCTAAACAATAAATACTCAAATAAGGACAGTACAAATGTCAGCATTTCCTCACACAGCTGCAGATACTGTAACCAGCAGTTGATAAAAATCACATTTACTTTATTCTCAATTTTTACTAACTGGCTTAAACCAATGTCCATCTCTGCCCTGTAAGCTGTGCTTTGTACCAAGTAGAACATTTTACACAAAGAGCAGTAAAAAATTCTCAGTTGTGGATTAATCTTGAGTAGAGAATTACTTAAAGCACTTACAGTTCAACCATTTATCTCCAAACTGTGGTGAATAATGGATCCGGGTTGTTTTATGTCTCCCCGTTCAGGTAACATAATTAAACACATTTCCATGTAAGGTATTACCAGTCTGAAGAAAGCATTCGTTCTCCAAAAGTATCTAATTTGTATTTGACTTTTACTTATTCAGTGCAACAAGCTTATTCCATTGTGTCTATATTTAAACCACAGTGAGACGAGTAAATCCTTTAAATCCTGACTGACTGAATAGAATGAAAACAGTGGCTTTTTTTTTACTGCAAAAGAAACATTCCTGTTTTTCACATGCACCTGTCTGTTTTCACTTGATGGCTAAGACAACATGACATTATATAGCAAATGGCTCACACCTTTTGTAGTAAAAACTAAACCATTATTTTTCCCAAAGACTGTCAGGACAAAAAAAAAAAGACAAAACTAAGACCGGTTGGATGATTGGAAAGCAGCAAACTAGACCATAATAAACCAGAGATCTGACATTACTCTGAAAGGATCCCTTCATTCATGCATGCAACTTTCAGTTGCCATGCCAACCTGTTACCAGTCTGCTGCAGCCAAGATGAAAATGGAAACACTGCAGTAACGAGAAGTCTGATTCCTGTAATAGTGCTGCCATTAGGAAGGAGAAAAAAAGCAACTCACCGAGACGTCGAAAAGCTCTTCTGTGTCATCCAACATACGGACCCTGACAGTGACACGTCTTCCAGGGGGCATCGCCGGGGGCCTGTGGCCGGGGTCCAAAGTGCTGATGCCAAGAGTCTCGGGGGCTCCAAGACGCTGACCTGCTCCAGAGGAGATGGTCTCTTGATCTGGCTCTGCCATGGCGCTCTAGGATATTCACTGAAAGCCTGTGTTAAAGCAGAAAAACAGAGGCAGTCAGCTAGCACTCAAACCCTCTGTTGTTCACAGTATTAATAGCGTAGGTTCTAATTAAAAGAAGGAATCATTATCAACCAGAGGAAACCTTCCTGCTACATGCTATATTTACACTCAGCACTAATGGCTCCTAATCGTTGCCTGTGGGAGTCTCATTTACAGCATGAAAAAAAGTTATTCCAGCATTTTCTCATTTCAAAGCATTGATCAATCTTAATTTAATCTGACAAATGAATCACAGAGCAAGAGGGTAATACCAAAAGGGTCTGTTCAACGTCAAATCGATTAGGAAAACCATAGGAGCAATACACGGCCAAAATCAGACATGCCAGTTTTATCAGGTTTCAATGGTGACATGTCAAACATCTAAATATGTAGCTGGTGATGGGAACTAAGAGAGTGGTGGATGTAGAGTAATAAGAGCAGATACGTAATGTATGTCAAAAGCAGATGTCAAAACGATCAATTATTCTGTTGTTTGGACCTCGAGTAATTTCAGATCAAAATCTTCCTTTATGGGAATGGCTTAGAGCCTTCCTAGATCTTACTGGAGGGACAATTAAACCGTCTGACCTAAAAATGCCAAGGGATCCACCAGACGTATCTGGAAAACGATGTCAAAGTTTCCATCTTTGGCCTGTAAACCCACAACCCAATCCACCAACTCAAAGAAAAGGGTGAAAAACCTTCAGCTTGAACACATTTTGGAGCTAAAGGGAGGTTCAGCGGAAACAGCCAACTGACTGCTTTAAACACAATGTTTTTCATAATAACCACTCCCCTTAGCTAGCTGCTTTTTCCTTTTTTTTCTCCCAGCGTTTTATACACCATCATAAGAACAGGGCAACGAAATGAACTCTCTGCATTTAACCCATCCCCTTGGGGAGCAGTGGGCTGCCATTGTGCAGCGCCCGGGGAGCAGTATGGGGTTAAGGGTCTTTGCTCAGGAACCCAGAGAAGAGGCTGTGGGAATAGAACCGGCTACTTTCAACCTGGCTCGGACTGGGAATGATTTTTGGCCCTGGCATTTTTCCACCTACACTGGCCCAAGCGTGCATCCTAATGTGAAACACAATACAAACACACATTATGGATTAACCGATCTATCTCCAAGCATCACACGACAACCATCACCAAGACTTCTACAATGCGGTTTTACTAGTTTTGGTTATTAATACGGACGCCACAGTGACTGCTGCTGCATAACGTCCACACTCACCACATCAGCAGCTTTGCCAGATGTCACTGACTCACATTTTCCAGCCCAAAAAATTTTCATAAACCGCCGGGATATACGAAATTTCGCCAAATTTGAAACAATGTCTATTGATCTCTTAGGCCATAAATCTAAAGAAATTTTTTTTTTACCCATAGACGACCATCCTAAACTGCCAGATTGAGAAACATCCCAACCTGGCAACAATGCATGAAGATGGGAAACGTTAGCCTTTAGATGGTAGTTAACATAGTATTACTTCTTTAGCTTCTTGAGTTATTTACTGTCAAAGGTAGGTGCTTCGGCCGGAGAGTAAGTGTTGGGGCCGCTATTATTTAACGAGGGCTGGCCCACGCACTCTGAATTCAGGACCGGCCCACCAGGAAAATGCCCGGTTCCACAGCTTACCAGTCCGACCTGCTTGCAACCTTCTCAGAGCTAAACCACAAGGCCAACACTCCCCCATGTCCCTTTAAAGAAATTCATTTTG